GTATCATTTGGTGCTGTCAATGAGTGACTTCACATTTCCATCAATAAACTATAATCAAATTTAGCCATTGTATAACTTGTAAATACAGATTGTAAATATACTAAATTTTGTTCAATAAAAAAAAGGTATATGTATACTTGTATAATATATACTATTGATATTACTTTATATATTTACTTTTTATTTAATGTCTTAATATAAATTATTATTTATTTTAAACCAGTAATTATAATTTATAATGGTGGATTGGTGCGATATGGCATGCATTTACAAGTAGGTGCCTATGTATGTATATAGTTTGCATTGTGTATCTTAATACATCTATGTGTATTAGATAAATAATTATAACATTTAAAACCATTTAATTTAAAACTAACAACTGTTACCCACCTACTACATACCAACCAAAAAAAATTAATAAAAAAGGTGCTCTGCTGTACAGTAGGTTACAAGTGGGTCACTGTATAATGGATGATATTAAATTTGAATTCAACGATATAATATCATTGTATAAGAAAAACGATTCTGAGCGGAGACGGTACATGTCAGTCTAGGTATAAGACATACTCGTATTATATACAAATCTATGGTATTAAAAAAATTTGACCTATAATAGGTACCTAAAGGATGTCGAAAATCGAATAAGCGAATAATCGAATAAGCTTGTATAGCAATCAAACACCACAATATTATGTTTTTCTGAAATTTCTTACTATATTATACTTTTCTCAAGAATCGCTTAGGTATATTATGTGGGTATTATAAACGAGTACCTTATCGAGTGATTACCCGCCGCATGCTGTGTGTCGTCCAAGTCCAATTAGCAATTTTGGGAATACACCATTTTAAGCTTTATCGGAGTTGTAATAACTGAAATTATTTATTCCGTGAAGGAATTGTGTACAGTTTTATTACAATAGGTATATTATATTTATAAATTATAATATTCAAAGGTAACTAATTTAAATGTATAAACTATCTAAATTTGAATGCTCGGATAAGCATATTTATAGTGGCAAATCATAAATTACGTACCTAAATATTATAAAAACAACAATATCACCAAGTATATTTGATATCAATATATTGTACAAATGTACAATAATATAACTAATATAATATCTAAATTAAATATTCTTCATTTAAGTTTAGTTGTAGCTATTAAGTATAGGTGTAAGTTATTTATTTATATAAATTATTAAATTAATTTTTTCATTGTGTAGCCTACAGCCTAAATCTACTGAAAATTCATAAATAAAGTAATTGACAAGCGATGTAATTAATTATTAAGTTCTAGCATCTAGATAATATTATAATATAATATTTTCTTACCATAGACCTATTATAAATGTTAGTTCCTAGAATGTGGAAAAAATGCTATACCCAACATGCAAGTTCTTACACTGTAAAAAAAGTTGCGTATGTTTGTTCCTACGCCTACACAGTGAAAAAATTATTCCTAACCTAACCTGGAAAAAAATTACACATGTTAATTTTGAACTCGATGATAAATCTTTCAATCTATACGAAAAACGAAATTTGAGTGAAAGCTTGTCAGCCTATATTACTAAGTAGGTAGCTCATAGGCGTAGCTAGGGGGGCTAGCTCCCCCCAAGTGTGAATATTAGCCCCCCAGAATTATTTGTATTTCATGTAGTTTATGGAGTTTTTTTTAATTATTATTAACTGTTTTTGCAGCCCCCCCAATATATTTGATCACCCTACGCCTATGAGGTACCTATTAAAGTATATATTTTATCATATTAATTTATTTTACTATTAGTAAAACAGTAGGGGATAGTCGAATTGCACTTATTACCTAAAAAGAAATGGTTATTTTCACTTGAGTTCAAAAAAGGTAATAGTCGAACTGCACTCGTTCAAAAAAGGGTTGAAATTTCAGGTATATATGGACGTTCACTTTTATTATTATAACAATATTTGACGATTTAAAAAAAAAATTACTAAAAATAAATTATAAAAATTTAAAAAAAAAATAATAATTTAAAAAAAAATAAAACAATTATATATATATTATTACTACAAAAATTATCAACATTAGTTATAAAAAAAAAAAATGTTATAATAATGACAATAATAATATATTTTGATGATTTAATATAATATGTATATTTAATATTATATATTAACATAATGGTCAATGGTATGTATAGAACAATCATTTTTAACTTTTAATATTTTTAACAATCATTGTCAGTCCTAAGCCTCTAAGTGGTAAGGGAAACGAGTGTATTATAAACGTTTAACCTCTTCAATTGCATGATATATTTGTCGGAAAAGGTACCTTTTTTGAGCCCAAGTGCAGTTCGACTAAAATAAGTG